TTCTTTTGCGTAAAACTAAAATTCATGCCAATATTTTTCCATGATTTATAATAATATAATAATGTATATTTTCTAAAAAAAGTCATTTTTAGTGAAATTTTGCCGGGAATGGGGCTTTAACTTAGTAGTAGCTAGTACTTTATTATTACGTTGTGACTATTTGTACGACGAGTCGTGAAGATAACTCCCAATGCTATTCTTACTACGATCGCTAGCGCATGCGCGATAGCATCTCTCGTTGTGGGGGGGGGGGGGATCTAGATGTGTATAAGAGACAAGTCTTAAACTGAGCGAACCGCGACGTTAATTCTGGCCTAGGCCTATTTCTAGGCCCAGAGAAAGGCTTGGTAGATGCCAGCCTATTGTAGCGGGATTGCTAGGAATAGTTTACATATTGTTTGTAGGCCTACATTGTTTATCACAGCTCCCTGGTCTGGGGTGGCAGTATAAAAAATGAATTTCAATTTTGTAAAACAAAAAATAAACATGAAAAATTAATTAATCTAGTCACCTAGGCCCTATTTAGCTCCAAACTAGGCCTCTCCTATAAGGGCTCAGAAGCCTACAAAACTGTTTTCATGTTCAATTTTGTGAACGCGAATCCCCCTGGAATCCCCACACTCAATAGCGGATATTCCTGGAATTGTATTACCAATTATTTTTATTTGATTACTAATATTACAGTTATTAATTGGTGTTATTTTTCTCTTTTACAGAAACAACGAAAATGTAAGTCGATTGGTTGGAGACACATATTGTCATCGTTTGTTGCGTTTCCCGATTATTTGACCATGTTTAAAATTCTTAATAAAATGTTAAAGTTCAAGTTCAATTTACTGTCATATACAAAGTAAATGAAATATGTTTGCCAAGGTTCACAATAAAAACAAATGCCCTACACAAATTCGACGTATATTTTACTTAAACACAACTTCCATGAATACTTAATTTTAGAGCTAAAAACAACGAAGAAAAACAAAATTTATGGTGCTGAACATAGCATGCAGTAGTGTATGGTAGTCCCAAAACAGTTACAATTCGAGCTGTATGTTTTTTGTTGTATGCTTTTCTGGTAGGGTGGGATGGAAGGCGGTTGAAATACCACTGGCCAATTTTACAATTCACTTGCATTAATTCTGCACCCTGTAATATAGTTGATGGTCTCATACCTACTCACTCAGAATTCAATTGAGAGAGATGAAAAAAGCACTAGTATGAACATAAATTTATAAAAATGTCGATATGATGAATGAAGAAAATCGAAATATAGAATCATGATGGCATTTATTACTCTCATCTGAAAATTATGCAGTTTAGTTTTCTCAGCTTATGTGAATTGTGAAATATGTTTACATGTGCCATTAGTGATGAACTTGGTTGCAACCTGTAATGATGGCTTGCATCTCATGTAAGGCATGCTAAAAAAAATCAGGTAAAAATCAAGTTTGACAATCTTTTTAATTTCGATACGGTTTCATTTACTGTACATGCAGAAAATAGGGGGAATAGTAGTTGGTTGAAAGACACGCCTGTTATATCAGACCAAACTATTAAAGTCCCTTTTAAATACCAAAATATACTAATCAATGATAATAGTTAAAGTATATCTTTGATTTGATTATTTTAGTTTGTTTATAAGATATATTGTCTGCCGAAAAACAAATAAAAAACTTCAGAAATTCAATTAAATTTTAATTAAGTAGATCATCATTAAGTTCAAACCTCAAGAAAGATGCAATTATTGTATTTATATGCGATGATTTCCTGATAATAAGCGCTTATAAACAGTAACAAAAGATTGAATTCTTTGCCAACTGCAATGGTGTCTTTGTGGGGAAAAAAACCTTTCCTTTAAAACTGAATGAGTGTGATGTCCTCGTTCTCTCCATTTCTTCAAAACGATGCTACCAAGTACAATAGTTTCAATCATATCACAATCCATTCGCAATTACTGATATGTCAAACACGATCAATTATTATAATCATCATATTCAAGTTCATCATAGAGCCAAGCATTAACCAATAATCATCAACGTCATCATTACCTGTAAAATCAAGAAAAATGTCTTTTATGCTATAGGCCTAGGTACATTCATAATACTGTATAAATAAGAAATATTCAACTACAAAACATCATATTGTAACATATTCTGAAAAAGAAAATTATTATGAAGCAAAAATACTCAATATTATATTTCAATCAGTAATTTATTTTTATATCAGTGTAAAATTATAGATTAGTTGTTATCAGGATCGAGTATGATAACCTTGGCAAACATACAAAGAGGCACCTTAGGAGTATATCTAACAGCCTCGTAATTGTTTTACTAAAGCAAGCATTTACTGAGATTTGAACAAAAAATACAGCAATCATCCTTCAAACAATGTCAGCCTATCAAATTTTATTTGACGGCAATTTTGAAATATCCTAAATAGTAAATATGGTCATGACGACATCCAATCATGGACAAATTACAGGTAGTATAGGCGCACCATAATCCTCATCATTGTTGTGTGTGCTGACAAAATTAATGTAAAGGTAGATGATTTGCAATAGGAATGAAAATGTAGGCTTACTGCAATCTATATAATAAAGAGACAAAACAAATAGCATTTGTTTCTGTTACAGCACTAATTTTTATAATTAGAAGTGTAGGCCTAGCCTGAAATATAGCCTAAGATCCACACATCTTTGCCGAACTTTTTCGCGGCCGAAACCCTCCCGCGCCACCAGGCCTATACAGGCTAGGCCACACAAAGGCCTAAATATGGGCATAATTTAAGGCAGTATTTCATATTTATACTCAAGTAATCCATAAAGATGATAAATGTCTCTACACACAGGTTTAGCTAATCTTTTGGAATATCACACGCCACTGGCAAATGGTTCTTGAATGTTAGAGATATAAGGGTTTAAATGTTGAAGTTTGCAACATAGAAAATTGCTAAACCGTCAGAAATACGAATTATTTAAAATTAAATTAAAAATACATTATTGTCTTAATTCCTGACCATGATTTACTTCTCTACACCAATAAATACCTCTTCTGTTGTAGTAAATAATTCTAGAACACATATGTGCTTACAAATATGTATAAGTAGGGTTCAAACTTTAGTATTTTTCTTCAAATCCTGCATTTTATCGCATGTCGAGACCTGGTTAGGCCTAGCCCTGGACGGATGAAGGTATGGGTGGCTGAATTACCAGCCTGTTGTAACCTTATGTACGCATACCATACATTTCAAACATTTTAACTGCAAATGTGTTCATGTATCTTACCTTTTAAAGGAATTGCCAAAGTAAAACTTTAAACATTTTTAAACAAATATAATACAGTACGTCCAATATCGCTACGAAAGTATCCACTAGTCTTGTGTGCGGAAAGATGCTCGCTTGCGGTTCCAACAACCTTATTTGCATATCAATGCACTGCATGACCTCACAAACTAGAGAACAATAGAATCGAGTCGCGTTTCCAATCTCCGTGTATAGTTCTCAGATTTGACGAAAAACTAGGGAGGTATTTAAAAACTTTGGAAAAGGGGTGTAAACCCCTTTTCCCCACAGTTTTTAAATATATTAATATCTGTTTCTCATTATCAGCTACCAAGTTTTCGTGAAACATGCTCTTCGTGTCTTCAGAAGAACTTCCATGATTACATCAAACCTTTTTTCATTCGGTGCCTGGCTTTAAAGGAGTTAATTGACTGTAGTAATTATAGATTTACAGGCAAGTTGTTCTACATTTTGGCTCCTACAATTTCGAATGAGGAATTTATGTTTATCACTAATCATTTTAGCTTTATAAACAGGTCTCTGTGGCGTAAGGCCATAGATGCACTGAACTTAATCATGCCAACGAAAACGCTTTTCTTTATTCGAATGTTTGCCATGACAAGGCCTGAATGATATTACCACCCCTTACATTAATGGATTCAAAATTGTTTGTTACAATACGAGCCGCTCTCCTTTGGTTTCTCTTGATTGATATTGATTCTCCATATTGTCCTGGCATGATCACTACATTGTTGTATGGTACTTATTATACAATCACTTACTCAAACTTTTTACAATTTTCATTTTACCCAACTTTCAATACTTACGACCCAATATCAATATAGACCTACCCTAGACTCCTAACAGAAGCTCAAGATCAACATTGATTGGCTGTTTAGTGGAACTGATATGAAACAAAAGAGTAGGTCTATCTTAAATTCTGCCGCTTTCAGAATTGGTTATCAAATATAGAGTTAGGATTAAAGAACCCAAGATTAAGTATACACTCATTCCAGTAATAGGCCTTGATGATTCAGTAACTTTTAGTACTGGATATCTGTACCTTTTATATTGATCAAGTTGACAGAGAATTTACAGTGTTCCATTTAACTTGATGATGGCGTTGTCAAGGTTCTTCAATGTTTTCCTAGCAATGAATCTATGTTGAAGCTGGTTGCGTTTGTAACATTCCCGGTTACTAAAGGAAGATTGGGCCTAAAAGTTTAGGCAGATTCAGTACGTTCACAGCCATTCCATAAAAAATTATAATCTCGATTTTTTTTTTTACTATTGTGGTCCATCTTGAAGTCGCATTAGTGTAGCAGTTTGTTGGGCATTGCAATTTTTATTGCCGTTTTTTGTAGCTAAATAATAACCTCAGACCTGGTTGTCTATTATTCGACTGCACGTCATACTCAACTGTAAACAAAAAAAACACACTTAGTTACTGTTATTTATTGGTTTACAACGTATTTTGTCATGCACAATATACATGCTTACTATCATAAACATCATTAGACCCATTCACTTTCAACCCAGGACGACTGTGACCAGTCCTGGATTGTAAGTCAAGCAAAAAAAGCTTAACCAATCTGGATGACTGACGATACACATAGATGGGTCAAAAAGCAAATTTTTAAGCTATAAATAATGACCAACACTTTAATTTCTTTCTCGTAACTTGGTTAAAGTTTCGAACAAATTTCATTCATATCAGTTGATTAGTTTTTGAAATATCTGAGTTGGAACGTTTTCCTTTGAATGGTCCTCATATCACTCCCTACTCCAGATCGCGTCCAAAATTTAATCACCTCATCCTTAGGTCATACCTGACAATCCCTGTACCGTCCTTTTTAGATCTGTGCATCTGTTTTGAGATATTTCGAACACATGGAAACACACACGACCGTATAAATTTAAATGACACTCATTTCCCCCCCACCCCCCTAGATTGTGGATCGTGACTAACCCTTGATAATTTGTTCCTTGTAACTTGGTTAAGCTTTCATGAAAGTTTCATTCATATCAGTTGATTATTTTTTTAGATATCTTGTCTAGGACGTTTGCTCTAAAAATCCCTTTAAATGTTCTCACTTCCACACCCTACTCCAGACAGTCACCAAAATTTAATCAGCTCTTCATTGGGTTATACCTAACACTCCAAGTAATTTTCAGTTGTGTCTTGTCACAAAAAACACACGAAAACACCAAAACATGACAGACACACAAACTTACACGACTGAAAATATATATCAACTGTCGGATATGATAATAATGATAATAATAATAATAATAATAAATAATAATAATAATAATAATAATAATAATAATAATAATAATAATAACCATAATCATAATATTAAAAATATAGTAATATAATAAAAATAATATTAATGACAATAATAATAATAAAATTAACAATAATAATATATAAATATAAAATTAATAAAGGTTATTTATGGCACTACTGTCAAAGGCCTAAAGTTAGATCATACCTTTAGATCAATTGTGACCGTATGGTAAATATCTGGTTTATAGCCATCCAGTGTAGATATATCGTTTCCATGAGTAATGAGGTTCACCAAACACATTGTTCCATCTAAGGAACTACAACTCTCGCACACAGGCCCATAAATATACTGTTTCCTAAAGTAATCCAGGTTGAAATTCCGATTTATTATTTCTTCAATAAAATGAACCAGTTTCTGTAGAACGCACATAGTCTGAGTTTTGTCTTCACTTATAATTTCAACTTTGATAAGATTTCTGTCGTATGAATTAATGTTTCCAGAAATTACCTCTGTACTGATGAAGAAAAGATATGATTTACCTGTCCTAAATCTTGCTGAATTATAAAAGATCTCATCCCAGTAAAACACCTCACAACATTTAGCGATGAGACGTAGAAATATAAATTCTTGAAGAATTTCACCGAAGTCGAAATAAAAAATTTCTTGACCGCTGTTCTGTGTAGTAGACATTAAATTCTTCTTTGGTAGTCGACACGACAGAAAAAATGTGCCGACTTGGTCAACGGGATCAATAACATTAAGCGGAAAAAGTAGATGTGTTCCCACTAAGAAACGAATGATGTAAGGGTAATGTCGCCAAATGTTTTTCTGTCTACAAATGTGCTCCAGTAGTCTACTGTCAACAATGCCAGTGTCTTCCAAATTCTGCCATAAGATGTGTATAAGAGACAGGGAAAATTCACTAAGATTGTCAGAATGTCTATTAGCATTTGAGGGTCACAGATAACGTAATGTCGGAGTGCCTCATCACGTTCATTGTATATGACATCACCAGATCTGTCAAAGAAGTTTAAGAATTCGCACAGCTCATTCTGGGAAATGATATTGCACGTTGATTTGACTTCCTCTAAGATCTCTACTAAACTTGCAATAATGTAATTTTGTAAGCGAAATTTGTTCAAAGTTTCATGGAATAAAAGGTATTTTACCGAATGATTCTCCTGAAAAAAATCCAATTTTGTAATCTCTTTATAAATAACTGTTCGTAAGATGTTACGCTCTTGGTCTACACATAACGAATTTTCAATAAAAAAGAAAAAGCTACCCGAAGGATGAAACGCAAGTAACCTAGAAAAGGGTTTATAGAGATGTGCTTTTGCAAGTTGAGTGAAATTCAAAAGAGCATTTATGTCAATAACACTTTCTCGTCTTGTTCCTACTAGAAACACTACAACGTTTTTAATATCTCCATGCATAGAAACTGATTGCAACCAAAATTGTAGTCGATTAATTTGTTTTCGAGGATTCACAGCCGCTTCAACGGCGTTAAATAGAATCAGATACACACCCTGCTTTGGCATGAAAAGATGATGAGTATTGTAGTATATGTTTTGTCCAGCAAAGTCCCATAGACTAAGTCTAGCATCTAAATACGGTTCATTACGAATACATGCTTCCATTGATTTTTGGATATGTTTTAACGGTATAGAGGTTGTATTCTTCACTTTCATGTATGTAAACCATTCGTAAACAATAAATGCAGTAATTGGCGCTATAAAAAGCAATAGGCTGAACGAATACCGGGGAATAGGGTAGTATCTGTTTTTGGCTAAGCTGAGAGTTTTCAAATCTGGAAGCTCCCACCCGCACAAAACAGCTATAAATATACCAGCTACAAAACCAATAGCTTTCTTGATAAGATACATTTGAGGGATATACCCATAAGCAACATATATTCTCCCTAAAAGGACGCCAGCTATTATACAACTTACAAGTACCGCAATACATGTAAAAGTATAAAATAGGCTTACAAAATACGATCCCTTAATAAAGGCTATGACTGTGGTAAATGCAATGATACTTAATAATACAAGTACACAGTCCCTTCGACTCATTGACAATACTTTTGAGGGAGCATACCTAAACATCAAAATACTTATAACAGCAATAATACAAATTATCAAATTATAATATGCTTTGCTGTAGATAAATAATAGTTTTTCTGTAACATTGTCAATGGTAAATGTTTTCTGTTGAGGATGTACCATGATGCAAAATGCTATGCATACTCCTGTTCTACCACCTGCGCCCATAAGAACGCCAGTAAGTAAGCCAACTAGTATACACAAAGTCATGACAATGGATACTTTGATCAATTCATTGTCTCCCAAATCCATCGTCATTGCACTGTCTATGAGTACCATTCCGATAGTGTATCCACAACCGAAGCGGTACGCATTGTGATCATCGAATATATACATAAAGCAAAGAATATTTATCCATACGAGTAGTCCAAATCCGAAAGCAAAACCACCGATTAGAAAAGTAAATATGATTGGAATACTGAGCATTGTCTGAAAAAATGTATCTTCAGTTAGCTTTAGGCCCACTGGCGACATCTGGGTTTCTGACGTGCTACCAGCTTTCGTGGTTTCCTTTACACTACGTTTGCGCACGTGTGATACTGCCCACCATGCTGCCGCACTTTCAAAGTCTTCTAGTGGTGTATTTGGTACTTCACGCCACTTACAGTTAACGTCAGTGACTTTTGCTTTGACGGTATTTGTTTCAATTCCTATGGTGCTAGGCTCGTCCTGTCGAAATTCTTTTCCTAGCAAGCGTCTACATGTCGATGTCTTTCCCACACCATGATCTCCTAAAATTAAGATTTTTGATCTGTTAAATGGCAGTCTTCCTCTTACTATTGCTTGTTGATAGGCTGTTTCAATCTTCCTATCGTCTGCGAGTACGCGCAAATTAGAACTACGTTCAAATGAGTGAAAGCCACGTAGATAGCTTAAATGTTTTTCATTCATATTGATGTCAACTGTTCTTTCAAATAGTGCTAAAATCCTTCAATGGGTTTGCAATATAGGCCTAGTTCTATAAAATGAAAAACCGTGTCTCTGCGCAGCAAACCTCAATAGGTTTGTATACACTGACGATAAAAGATCAAGAGCTTGACAATAGCTTTAGTACAGTCGAAACTTGCACTAGCGAATCGTATTCTAGGTAGGACGAGGAAATAATATATTAATACTAACAGCACCACTAATATAGAAACCATTACTACTTCCTCATATTGATTACGGAGGCCTAACCTTTTGGGCCCCAGAAGTAGAAAGAATATTGACAAAATGCAAACCGCGCTTTGCGTTTATAATTTTGAAAACTCATCCCCGTACACTATTTTTTACAGTCTTTTGTCAATATTATGAATGTTGAATAACGGTATGATACCAGGAAGAATACTGTATTTCCTTCAAAAGCTTATTTGTTCCTCTGTGAGTATCTTACCTGAGCCAAATAATTTTACATATCTCTAGAAAAATTGTTTAAACATGGAAAACATTATGGTGGAGGATTATGCAAGATATTTTGAAAGTCCTGTACCAAAACAAATATGTACGAACTAATGGATAATGCTTTAATCCTAATCGTCTGTGGTGAATCAATTAATTGTTAATTAAAAACAACAACAAAAAAATCAATATGTTATCAATTTCTAATGATACATAAACACATATCAATATAACTTCCAGAAATTTAAAATAGAGTGGGACCCAGGAGGGACTTTGACAGATGGAGTGTCTATACCACCATGGTTGGGGTAAAAAAAATTACGATTATGTCACCTCTGAATGGCAGGAAATGGCACTCTTAGACTTAAAATTTGAAAGTAATTTTCCTTTTTATCTCCAATTTTTTTTACAATATTGACAAATTAGGAGGGGAGGGGGTTAGGCAGGCTCCCCCCCCCCCACCTGAATCCGTCACTGTCGGTTGTAGCTTTGAAACACTTTGGAAAACGCAAATTCTGTTAAAGTATTTGGCTACCGACGCAGAGTTGACGTACATAACCTTTTCCCTAAATTTTTTCTCTCTCGTTAGTTGCCATGTCTACATCATCAAAAATACAGTAGTGCAATATTTTACGAATGCCCGCATAGGAACCTTGGCCCTCGCAGAGGTCTGGTTTATTTAGACCATGCCGAGC